TAAAAATTTTGCCAGGGGGCACATGCACCCACTGGACAGAGATAGGGCAGAGTGGAGGCAGGGAGAAAGTGAAAAAGCACCCCCATAGAAGATGGTCATACCACAATCTTTTCACCTCCATTTCTCTCTCCTTTTGGGATTTTGAGTATGCATGTACATGTATCCAATGGGTTTTCCAGGCCACTGGGTCCAGGACTTGAATCACACACTTGGCCATGTGGAATCCAGCTGCTGCTACCACCATGCCACCAGCTACGCCAGTAAGGAGATTTTTCCTTTGGAAAAGACTTAATATTGACAACTACCTAACAATATTAGTGAAGTAAATGAAACACAATTGATTTTGTTTTCATTTGAATTGACAGAAAATAGTACATGTTTATGGGATACAGTGTGATTTTTTTTCTATACATGAGTACGTTTAATGATTAAATCAGAGTTATTAGCATATCTGTAATCACAAACATTTCTCATTAGTTTGTGTTTAAAACATTCAAAAATTCTCTCTTTTAACTATTCTGAAAGATACAATCCACTATAGTTATTCCCCCCTGTTTTTTTCTTTTCTGCCAAAGAATGCATGCACTTACCAGAAAGAGGGCAAGGAGAAAGCACTACATTAGGGGGATGGTCATGCCACAATCCTTTTTCTCCATCTCTCTCTTTGGGATTTTGGGCACATATACACACATTTGCCTAATGTGTTTCTCAAGCTGCTACTCCAGAATTCAAACTACATAGTAGGCCATATGGAATCTGACTGCCTTAACCACCAGGCTATGGAACTATCACTATTTCTCTTAACTGACTGTAGTTGTGTATCTGTTAACTAACATCTATCTGTCTCTCCTCTCCACTACTTTTCCCAGACTTTAGTAATTTCTAGTCTCCTCTCTATCTCTATGAACTCAAGGAAACATAACTAATTAATATCAGGAATAAAAGATGAGGGTTTTTTTTTCAATTTAAGAGCAAATATTTATTCAACTCATGGTCTAGAGACCCAAGGTCCAGAGGCCACCCCTGGTGGGGCTACATCACAACATAGAGAAGGGCAGGAGAGCATGGTTTCAAAGATGAGTTTTTTAAAAATAGGTGATACTGGAAGGAGTGAAAAGAAAGCCAAGGTTCCCCTGTTGTCATCAGTGCCACCCAACCAGAGCTCAGAGATGGGGCCATGGTCACCTCCTCTGCCCAGCTCCTCCTCCCTCCTCCTTCTCCTCTGCCAGCCAACCACTACCTCATACTGTTTCAACAGCCTGTTAAAGCATGGTGATAAGTGGACCAGCAGATGGGATAATGGTTACATCACTGGGCTCCCATGTAGTTGACTGTGATTCGAGTCCTGCACCTGGAGACTTGAAATTCATTCTGGG